GGCAGGGGGGTTGTTACTAGATGATCTTTGAGGTTGCTCCTCACCAAACCTGGGTGATTCTTCCTGGCATGGCTGGTGTCTCTCAAATCTCAGAGTAAAGCAAGGAGACCATGGGAGCTCAACAGTGCTCCCAGCAATGGGTCAAACTCCCCAGGAAGTGCCCTGCTCGAAACACCAGCGTGCAGCAGATACGGCTGGATTCAGCCGTTTGCAGTATCTGCCCACTCACTAACGCATCTCACACTGTCTCTGTGGCAGAAGCACATCCAAAGGCAGTGTCCCGGAGCAACGGGACACACAGGCTGTCCTGCCAGCCAATGCATTTCAAAGTGGCCACAAAAGTTGCTCTCAGGCAGCAAACCCCCATGGCTCTCCCATAGCTGGCCTCTGGTTTGCTGACCTGCTCGGGATGCAGTCCTCGCATCGGAGAGGCACACGGGACGCAGCAGCAATACCGTCAGACCCTTCAGGACCATGATCTTGGTACACCCGGCCTACGTGAACCATCACTAGGCACTTACTGAAGCTGACAGATCTCCAGGTCATCGAAAGAGAAAGTTACCGCATTGTTTAGAGGCCCAGATGCTTCTGAGTCTCGAGAAGGATAAAGTTGTTCAGATTTCAAATTTTACTGCGGCTGAACCTCACACAACTCTTGAGAAACTGGTCAATTATACAATTAAAGGGTTGCATCTTGCCTCTAGTCAGGAATTTGTTTTCACTTCCTGGCCACTGGAGGTAATTAAAGTTTAGGCTGCCAGAGGAGGAGTAGCCTGTTGCTGTGTCTCTGCTCCCACGGAAGCTATCAAATTACATTTAAGCTCTCCTGACGGTTTATGAGCCAACTTAACAGGCAAATGTTCCTGAAGCTCTCACACTTGCTATGTTGACCTTCTTTGACAAAGAAGCTGAACTTTGTCCAGTTCTTCATCTTCCCCAACCTTGACTTTCAAGGTTTCTGGAGGGACTGGCACACAGGAATCAGATTTAGCTAGCACAAGGGGAACAGTTCCCCTTACGCAGGAATTACCCAGTGTACCTTTAGTGACGGCCAGAGTAAGGCAAGACAGCCCAACACTGCCACACAAATATCCAAACTGTCGCTTCACTTGCCGGGGAACAAGGCTGCTCTTTTACACACCTCGAAGGAGAAAAGCAGCTTTTCAGAGCAACAGCAATGTCCACTGCAAGGCAGAAGGACAGGAGAAAGTTGCCCATAAGTGTCAATCGCACCCGCTCGGCAGTGGAGTGGAAGATAAGATGAGGAGCCATGAAAGTTGGATGAGGCCTTGAGCAACCTGGTGTAGTGGAAGGTGTCCCTGCCCATGGCAGGGGGGTTGGAACGAGATGATCTTTGAGGTCCCTTCCAACCCAAACCATTCTATGAATCTATGAAACAATCTGATCTTCCGCACCCAACCGCAGCCCGTTACATGCATCGACTCCGCTGCCCCGCAACAGGGAGAACATCAGTCTGCCAGGAATAAAGCACTTCAGGGAGCAGAGCACAGCTTATCAGAAGCACTAATACCTTTCATCAGGCAAGCTTTGGCACACACGAGCCTTTGGAAGGGTAGGGCTGAGAGTCAGTCTCCAGCTACGGTGCCAGTTGCTCTCTGGGAGTCCCAGAGAAGAGACACGACCCCTCAGCAGAGACAGAACTTTCCAAAATTGGTTGACTTCAGGTGTGCCAAAGACACTCACCACGAAAGCTGTAAGAGGTTGGTTCTCACCAGGGCAAGAAAAAGCTCTTCTAGGTATTTCTGTATTTGTGTGGCTTGTCAAAACAAACACAAACATTTAAAGCCTTAAATGCTGCGAAGACAAAGGTCTTGACAGACAAACACACCACAAAAACTCCAGGCAGCGAGTTCAAAGAATGTGGTAGCAAAGTACAAGAGGGCCTTTGTGGGCAGACAGTCACCTCGCCCGTGTTGGCTCCTAAAGCTGACGGAAAAAGCAGTTTCTTGAGAAGGGCAGCAAAATCCCCAGCGGCAACAAGCCAAACTAAACCTATTCTGCAGCTGACGTCAAGCACAGAGATCTGACATGGGACAGCACCTCCATGGGTGTCTCTGAGCATCTCAGCCAAATGCCTCTCAGGTGAGACATGTCTGCAAGTCAGGATCATCACATAGGTCAAGGCATAAATATAGGAATGGGTTAATTCCATGCAGCTGAGCTTGCTGACCCTGCAAAGCAGGTACCAAGAACTTCCTACGGCCACCAGGAGCCCTATGGCACATGCTACACAGACCTGCTTGCCAAAGGTCCACAGGAGCAGTCTACAGGCAGAGGCAACAGCAGCTACCAGCGTCACAGGGAAGAATACACTCAGTCAGGACTGGGGATGGGGCAGCAGGCTGAACCAGCTGCCTCGGCCCCACCAACCCCTGCCAGCTCACCAAGCACTTCCCCACCCAAGCACTGGGTCACCCACCAGCCCTTGCACCAGCTCAGCTTGGCAGCAGGGCTCTGCGTATGTGATTCAAGAGGCAGAGCTGCTTTTCCTGCTGTAGCAGCCGTCATCCTCAAATGACAACACTGTGTAAAATCCAAGGCCTGGACCGATCACGTCCACCAAGCCCGCAGGGTGGGGCCAACAGAGCAAGAAGTGCCCCGGACTCAGCAGCAAGAGGATTTAGGGAGGAGAAGGCAATAATCTGCCTTAGGTTTTGACATGAGCCACTGCTGAAGAATGCTTCCGCAAAGGCAAGAAGGTGGGACCTGAATTTTGTTCTCTCAACCCAAAGACGGAAACACAGTAATAGAGAGGTCAAAAAAACACCTGGCCCCAAGTGTGGGAGGAGGAGTAATAGCCTTCTGAAAGGTCCACATTGGGTCTTTATCCCCAGAATGCTGCAGCAACCTGTGCTCGCTCTCTAGTCGGACCTGTAACCGCTCCCCCCAGCCACCACTGCTCAGGAGGATCAAAGAGTAGTGGAAATACCACCTCCAGGCCTTGTCCAAACCCCAGGTGGGAATTTCAACCAGGGAATCTCCTGAGGTTACTTCAGCTCTCAATTCTTCTGGGTAAGCTACACAGAGAAGAGCCTAGCCTTTGAGGAGAGGTGGAGGGAGCTGGGCTGGGTTAGTACAGCAAAAAGATGGAGGCATCAAACGGCTGTCTGGGAAGCAGCCCCTTTGCAGAAGGGCAGCTGCAAAGACGATGGAGACTCATTTCAGTTGCTGCAGACAATACAAGGGGAAATATCCACAAATGACAGTTTGTGAATGGAACCCAGAAAAAGCTTCTTCATTAGGAGGTGGTGCCCAGAAAGGTGTGATCTCCATCCTCAGCGGTTTTCCAGGAGCAGCTAGACAAAAACCATGGCTGCAAGCAGCAGTGGACTAAAAACCTCCAGGACACAGTTTTACAAGGAAGGTCTATTTCTGAAACACAGGGACCCTGAAAAGGTCATTTCAGTCTCTGCAGATAATCAGCGGAACATGAACCCCCCGGCAGGACAGCAGAAAGAAGGGAGCAAAAGAAAACTGGAGAGGGACAATGTGGCTGAACACAGAAAGGACTGTGAAAACACTTGTCCAGGTCATCACCTAGCACTACAAAAGGGAAGAAAAAAACGTGCTCAGAGCAAACCTCCAAGAATAGCTCCAGACAGGGCACAAAATATGCTGCGTTGCCTGGTCTGTGTGCCTAAGTGAAGACTAGAAGCAGATATAATCAAGGTCTATAAGCACTACAGGGAAGATGAAACCTGATCCTTAAGGCTTAACTATAGGCCGAAAGCAAAACACAAAGTTGAAGTCAGAAGAGCTCAGAATAGAAAAAAAAAAAGTCAGTGATCAGAGGTGCCAGAAGCAAGTGGAGCTTCTGTAACTCAGAGCTTTGTCATACAGACTCCTTGCCTCTACCCAAAAAACCTGCTCAAAGTCTGAAAAAGGCCCCTAGGCTTGATCCAAGGACGTCTCATCAATCTCTAGTTTATTCTCCTTGAATATTGTCCTCACTGTAGCTACTCCACGCACACAACTTGTCTGTGCTCGGAAGTAGAAGTTATTACCCTGGTCCGCTAACCCAGCGGAGAAGCCCCAGTTGCAACCCCCACCTTCTAACAGATCCCAATTAGTGCAAAGATCAAAGTCTAGTCCTGAGGAACGAGGTGTTTATTAGGATTCCCTCCAGGCAGCCACGCTACTACTCCATTCATGAACAGACTTTCCACTGGGCTTGGGCTGCCTTCCCCAGCAGTTATGTTGAGGGAGTACCCTGGAGCTAGTCAAATTGTTGTACTGTGGGAAACAGGCACACACTTAAGGGTTAAAAGGACTTACCTGTAATTATCACAGTCGATGCACCCATCACCTTAGCAACAAGCACGTTAACAAGGCCAATTGGTCCTGGGTACAAAGGGCAGAAAGAGAACATATACAACTGCCAGGCAGCACCAGCTGCAGGCTCCCAACGTGCCCAGAGCTCAGCACGTTCCCAGGCTAAAGGAGGCTCCGATTGTGTTTCCAGGTGGGCAGCTCTGGGATCCCAGCATCGCCATGATCCCAGGGCAGGGAGACCAGCTGCTGAGAGAGCAGCTCTTGCTACACGAGGGACTCTGCAAGGAAAACACCACCCGCCCCTCTGCTCCTTCGAGCTGGTAATGGTTAGCATGCCCAGACACTGCACCTTGTGTTTGGGCTGCTCAAAATGCAGCACTGGAGTGCAGCATGGGCAAGGACAGCCTCAAGGTCCCCCTTGGCATCCCTGTAACAGCAGAGCCCAGAAGCCCAGCTTGCACCCTGTCCATCCCCCTCCACACTGCAGCAGGCAGAGAACCCAAGGACTGAATATGTGTTCACCATACCAGAGCCGGACACGAAGACTTTGCTTCCCAGAGTGACTCCTGCCCTTCTGCAGGCATGGATTGCCACCGAAAGGGGCTCGATAAGAGCTCCTTCTTCGTAAGTGACATTATCTGGAAGCCTGCAAGAACCAGACACAAGCAACAGTCACCAAAGAGGTTTATGAGGGTGATGAGGAAAGTCATGACACTCGAAGACTAAACATGGGTTTAAATCACAGTGGCAAAATAAACTCTCACTCTTGGATTGAGAAATGCAGGGCAGGAAGGTGTTTCAAGAGGTCATATGGCCTTCTTCCCTCCTCTGAAGCAGCATCAAGCACACCTAAACCACTTACCAGTTTGCCTAAGCACCAAACACAGGGATCCACAACTTCCCTATGCCATTTCTCCAGTACTTGGTGAGTCAACCCTACAACTCCATTGTCGCTCATTTCCTTTGGAATAAACCCCACAGTTGTGTATCCACCACCTCAAAGGCTGCCCTAAGACTGGGACCCATGGGTGAGCTCCCCGACCCCTCCTCTGGGTTGAATCATTCAGCTCTGCGCTTTTAGAAGACACCTTGCTGCCAATGGTGATGTCACATAAACCAAAGGCAGCCAGATCCAGGCCTCCCCACCACGCCCTGGATGTCCTCCCTTGATGCATCAAGTGCTTCAACCAGTGGGCTGGTCCCAGCACGCACCTCTCCAGCAGTCAAGGGAAATGTGTACAGTGGGTATCGAACACCTTTTGGACAGAAACAGCTCCGTAACGCAGCTAGCGTAAGAGATGGAAAACAGCAGAAGGGGGTGAAAGCCCCCTGAACTGCTGACAGAAACCAATCCCAGCCCCACAACGAGCCTTCCAGAAAGGCACCAGGGTGGGCTCTCACACAGCGGGTGCTGGGAGCTGTGTCTGCAAGGAAAGTCTTTCTGACAGCCCTGGGAAGGTCGAGGTCAGGCCCCAGCCAGGCCAACAGGAAGACAAAGTAATGGAAACGACAGTTGTGGGAAAGTAGCTGCAAGATGTCTATATGTCTCTTATCTCCAGGAGGCACTGAAGGACTGAGTCCAAAAGTTTGGTTGCTTCAGAGTATGGCATCACATTTGCTCCTACTGGGTCTGGGTACTGCTCTGTCAACGGGGCGGGCAGCTTTGCAGCACGATCCCACCTCCCTCGAATTACTCAGGGTACCCAGCACAGAGTCTATCCACCTGCAGAAGGACAGACAACACCTCCCCAAGTATGTGGGAAACCACTGAGCTCAGCCATCATCTTTTCTTGTCAAATCTGTGCCGGCAGAGTGACTTCATGCCAGGGAATCTGCTCTGCATCAGATGGCCACGGCATTGCTGATTTGCACCTGGGAGCACCAGATCCAGGTTTTGCATTTTACTGCTTAAGGGAAAAAAAAAAAAAAAAAAAAATTTAGCCAAAGTAATATTTACTCAAATTGGAGAAAAAAACAGATCTCTCCCTGGAAGAAGACTGCTACAAACCAGTCGCTTTCTCCCAAGCGAAAACTTGCCATGTTGTCAGAAAATGTTATTACAACACTACACAGGAAATCAGCAGGTCTGGACAGTGAGAAGTCAAGTCCCATCCAGATGAGCATCACATCCTGACAGCAGCTGCCTGGGACTCGCTTCGAAAGGAGCTTCCTGCCCGAGGACTCTCATGAGAAGTGTAATCAAGTGCCTCCTCCTGACTGATTCATCTCCAACGCTTCCTCTGCAGACATCAAAGATCAATCCTAAGGACCTTCCTGCTCCTGGAAGCACCAGCTCCACACAGACTGAGAAAGAACAAGCTCCATAGGCAGACCAGTCTCAGGGGGCCGCTACCTTAGAATCATAGAATCATAGAAGGGTTTGGGTTGGAAGGGACCTCAAAGATCATCCAGTTCCAACCCCCCTGCCATGGGCAGGGACACCCTCCACTACACCAGGTTGCTCAAAGCCCCATCCAACCTGGCCCTGAACACTTCCAGGGATGGGGCAGCCACAGCTTCTCTGGGCAACCTGGTCCAGTGCCTCACCACCCATCAATGTAAAGAATTTCTTTCTTAGATCTAACTTAAATCTCCCCTCTTTCAGTTTAAAGCCATTGCCCCTTGTCCTGTCACTACACGCCCTTGTCCAAAGCCCCTCTCCAGCTTTCCTGTAGGTCCTTTAGGTACTGGAAATTTGAAAATACTGGTACTTAGACTATTTGTAACTCCTTGTGTAAATGCACCTACATGGGGGTAACGTTGCAGAGGTTTTTTTCGTGTTTCTAGCACGTTTAGGAGTCCTTAAGCACAGACCTGCTTTTAAGCAAACGTGTCAGCCCTGCCACGATGAAGAACACACTCGAGTTTGCTGAACTGGATACGAACACAGACGTGTCACGCTGGCAGCTCAGCGGGGCCACTCGGCGCCGCCCAAAAAAGCAGCTTCGGAAGGGCCCGGCTTTCTGTTCCTGTTCTGCTTTAAGGAGGATGACTTTGTGACTTTGTTCCAACCGACAGAGCGAGGTGTCAGCAGTCTCAGTGGTGCTTCCTGAAAAGCAGCAGTAAAGCTAGCTCCGTCCAAAGCATCAGACAAAGACCTTCAGGCACTGTCCTGAGAAGGCAAGGGTAAGAGCTGACAGCAGAAAAGCAACCAAGAGCAGGGAGCAAACGGGAGAAGGAAAATAATTAAAGGGTAAAACAGTGGTGACTGTTTTACAGCAGGAAAAAATGCACGAAATGTTTATGTTTGGCACCAGTGGGGATAAACGACACCTGCCTGAC